ACCACTCATGTTTGTGAGGGGAGAGGGGAAAGCAAGGGGGAAAGAGCTTCTGTGGTTATGAAAACAAGCTTGTAACCCAGAGGATCCAAACCAAAAGGCAAATCACACCACAAAGCCTGCCACTCAATATGCTCAAGCCATCTGATGGCCCAAAGAGCCCCAACTCAAGCTTTTCCAAGCACCTCAGGCTGACAACAGATTTTTACGTTGTTTTGAAGCCCCTGATTTTGGCCTCACAGCCCCTGGCACTGTTCCCGCACACCCCAACTGCTCTGCCACAGCGGGGCTCGTTTGGGAACGGAGGCTACCTCTCCTCCCCGTGCCAGGCAGCAGGCAAGCTCGCGCCAGCACCGCCGCCACCCGTCCCAGGGCAGCACGCACAAAGCCGGTGGAGCAACCACCACCAACCTCGCTCCGTGCCAGAAGCCTCCTTCATCTGCCCTGGAGGGTGAGGCTGTTTTCTGGGACTAGTGAAAGGAGGGGAAAATGGAATTTGCTTCATCTGCAAGCTATAAAGCCTCCCCATCTTTCTAAGCCCAGCGTGGACGGGAACAGCTGTGTAGCAGCATTTCCCCAAGGCCCCAGCTCTGTTGATGATGCTGAAATACCAATTTAAGTGTAAAAGCTGGAAAGCATGAGAGAAATAAGCAGCAGAGAAAGAATGGAGGGCAACCATAGAATCACAGAATGGTTTGGGTTGGAAGAGACCTTCAAAGATCATTTAAGTCCAACCATCCTGCCACGGGGAGGGACATCTTTCACTAGATCAGGATGCTCAAGGCCTCATCCAACCTGACTTGGAACACTTCCAGTGATGGCATCCAATGCTTTTAGAGGAAATAAGATTAATATTGTTTCTTTGGGAGAGGGCATTCTTTTGCTTAAGAGATTTCTTTGCTCAGTGAGTACAGAGGATGAGACCTGCTGTGCATGCTGCTGGATGGGGTCTGCTGAGGAACAGAGATAAGAGGAAGGTAGCACCAAACACGTGTGAGCACAGAGACAGGAGCCAAATACAAGAGGCGCACTGTCAGGACCCACGACTGGATGATGTCTCATCCATCTCAGGACCCATCTTCTCCCAACAAAACAGAAGATGCTTTCCAACTGCAAACACATCCAGCTCCATCCATGGACCACCCTTGGCCCCAGTGCCACTCTTTTAGAGCCACTGCTTGAATGTCTGGACACCTAATTTTGATTTCCAGACTAGCTCATCAGCAGCTACACTTCCTCCCCATGCACACTTGTTTATCTAGTAGAAAATCATCTTCCCCAAGCTCGAACTGTTCTCCTCCTTCTGTGGGGTAAATACAGAGCTGCGTAAGACATCGGGCACCTGTACGTCCCAGGGACCGTGGTGCTCACACCTCCCAGGATCAAGCGAGGTCAATCCCCCATGAACTGTCACAGCGGGGAATGCTAGCGCTAAATCCTCCAGAAACCCAGCCCAGACTGCAGCACGTGGAAGTCTGGTCCGGTGTTTGTAGGACCTATAAAAACACAGCTGTGCTCGCCTCTCCAGCCAGCTGCACAGCAGAGACCCGTGCAGGACATCATTAATCAGAGCTGTGGTCTTACTGATCATTATTATTACTACTACTACTGCTGCACTCATACCCAGGGGCCCCCAAACGGATCCCTGCGACAAGAAGACACGGTCTCTGCTTTGATGAGTTGACAAATCTAGTTTAAAACAAGTCACAGCAAGGCAGCGTGGCACACAGTGAGGAAGGGAGCTGGCAGCTCTGGGAAAATTGCTCACTTAGCTGGTCTAAACCACACACACCCTGAGTGCTCCCCATCACATTAAAATGCTGCTCGTTTATAAACCGCTGGCTGTTGCGATTTCACCTTTTTTTTTTCAGTCATTTAACCATTTCTAACTTGTTTTAAAGTTCCATTGAGTAGCTTTTAATCCGGCTAATTTTTGTGCAGGTGTCAGGGGAGGGAGAATTGAAGCCAAGGTGAGACCAAGGAAATGCCTTTGTGGGAGGGAGAGGGGGTACAGCCATTCCCCCACCAGGCACACAGTGCCTGCTCCACAGCCGATCACTCCAGTGTCTTTCCCCTGCACTTTCAATGTGTTCAAGAAATAAACCCACAAATGCCATCAGCCAGGCAGACCCACTACATGTGAGCCGACATGCCTACAAAATAATAATAAGGAAACACGAGGTCAGAGGATGCATTTTCCCAAATGTTAAAAGTAACGAGCTGAAGAAATTACCAGGAACAGAATTTGCTGGTCTCCCAGAGAGACTCCCGATACCATCCCTGCAGCCCCTGGTAGCAGGGAACTAACTCCAGTGACACGGCTGGGGCAGGCAAGGCTGTGCCAGGCTGTGATGTGCCCGGCTGCTTTCTGCCCCATGGCAGCCCCGGGACAGCCCTTCCCTGGAGCGGTGTCGCTGCTCACACTCCTCTCTAGCAGAAGGATGTTGTGCTGTGTGCTACCCATGCACTGGGAAGAAAGCCCATGTGCCTCCAAACGAAGCACCTCCAGAGGGACAGGAGGGGTGAAAGCACACTGGGGTAAAAGGGGATGCTGCAGCTCCTCCGCCTACAGACTCACAGCTAACCAGAAGGGAAAGACCTGTGACCAACAGAGAACAAATTTAGGCAAAACAACTCACGGTGCTCCCCTACACAGGGAACCAGTGGGGCATAGAGCAGTCTCCCAGGCTACATTATTGCTGCAAAAACAACGGAGGTCACTGAAGAAACAATTAGGGAGCCTGGAGGAGAGAAGGGAGCCACAGAGAGTGAATGAAGCATGATGGGCTAAATATTTTCTTGCTGTCACCCCTCACCTGCCAGATCCCAGAAGTCTTGTGTTCTCAGGGTTATATATGGCTGGGCTAATGGCTTTGTACCGGCTGCTGACACCAACCAGCAGCGTGTCACCTTCTGAAAGTGGATTAGCTTAAGCTGCGGGCACACTGTCACATCACTAAGCCAGTCCCTGAGCAGGTCTTGGCCAGCCCTTAGCTCTTCCAGGCCTGTCAGATGACGCTGGGATCTCCAAATGCCCAGCACCAGACAAGGCAAGGGATTGGTACTGAAAAAGGCCTCCTGTGAGCTCCCAGTGTCTCCTGGTTTCTAACAGACCTGGCGATGCTCAACTGCTTGCAGGACTGGGCAGTCAGCGTTGCATGAGAAATGTTGGCGTGTCTCGTCTCCCCTTCTCAGCCTGCAGCATCTGCACTGCTCTTGGGGAAAGCCTCTTTCCCCAAATGCCAAGAAACAAAGAATTTTTTAGAAGGTGGTGATGTTCCTGAGTCACATATAATCGGATCTACCATCACTAAAGCACCAACAATTAAGGCACACTGAGAATCTTCACAAAGAAAAACAGTGGCTGATCAACAACAGTTTTCCTAGAAAAAAGTATGTCATTTTCCATTATTATTTTAGATTTTAAGAGAGTGAGAAAAATAAAAATTTCCACTTGACTTGGAGGTGACATTTTCATTGCACTTCAGAAATGGATTATTTTTCACTTTTTACATTCCAAATGTCTTTCTCTTCCTCTTACTCGCTAATGTTTTGTTACTGAATGCAACAGAACAGGTGCATATGACTTCGTTTTTCCCCTCCAACACATTTTCTTTTTTCGTTCTGAATTCTCTGAAATTAGAGTGGCAGAGGGAAAAAACTGAAACACTCATCAGACTTTTCCAACTTTCCTACAAAATGTCCTTAACTTTAGAAAATCACTCAAGTGTGAGATTTAATATGCTGCTTTGTTTTCCTCTCTCCTTTCCATCATTCTGCAGGCTTCCTGAAAATGCATACACTTTCAAAAGACAGAGTAGAAAAAGGAAAAAAAGATACAGATGACATTTATCTTATTGCACTCAACACAAAAGAGGGAAAAGTGGTGATGGGACAAAGTAGAGCAACAAAAACCAAAAATCAAAATCTGGTTTGGCAATTTTCTTGAATACAGCTGAGTTTCTTTGGGGGGAGGATGGAGAGGAGGAGGGAGAAGAGTTTTCCACCCATTTCTAACCATAGTATATCACTGGGAATAGAAAAGTCACTACTCTGCCAAGACAGCTAGCGCTTTCTCCCAAAATCCTTGGCTCCCACCTTGTTTCTGCTGCGGTAAGGCTCCATCACACACTCTCCACTGTCAGTCAGGGGCATCCCAGGTCTCCAACTGGCAGGATTCCAGTTGCAAGCCCCAGAGGTGCTCCCAGCCATGTGCTCCCACTGCCAGGAACTCCCTCCCTCCATGGCCAGGAACTCCCTCCCCTCCATGTGTCCACAAGCCATGAACCCAACTCCCACGCTCGCTGCTCAACTCCGTGAAGACAGGAGGACTCTCATAGCAGGAGGCAGAGGAAGGCCAACACATGGGTAACTGGTAGCCATTTGTTTTACTGACAAAACAGCTCCAGAGGCTACTGCAATGGTCATGTAAATATCCTTGGAATTATATCATTACATTATTGCATAGTCAAGACCGTTCCATAGTAGAGGAAAAAAAATAAAAGCAAAAAAGATTCAAACCAGCAGGCTGGAGCAGAAGCACTCCTAGATGCGTTCTATCAAACTTATGCCCCACCGCTCCAGTTATACCCATACTCCCACAGCTCAGTCCCATGTTTGTAAAGGATTCCCATTGTGCTAGGATGAACAAAACCAATACTGAAAAGGGCTGTTCAAGCCCCAGCTCCCTGGATCAACACATACCAGCAAAGACCAAACAAGCAAAACCCCTTGAAATGTACCAGTTTTGGACATAGGACATCTGCTTCTAATTAAAAAGGAGAAAGATCTGTCCCCATGTCCTTCCCCAGCCCTGCGCCTCTCAGGATGGTAGCTAGCCAGACACAAGGGTAGGAGATACTTTCACATTCTTCTCGATTCGAATAATCAGGAGGCTCCCACAAACTCATCAACAAAAAGCAAGTCAAGAACAGCCTGTGTTAGCAGTCAATTCCTCTAAATTAGACAGTTGTGGTTCCTTCCTAAAAAAAGTAAATACTTACCATCACCTCCTGGTTGCTTGTATGGGTTGTACTTTGGCTTGGGGGCAACAACAGGTGCAAACTTCTTTGGCGTCTGCTGGGTGGACACCGAGATGCTGGGAGTCCCAAAGGTGTGTGTCGTCTCCATCCTTGCAGTAACGTGACCAACGGGCTCGTTGGTACTTTTGGGTGGCAGCCAGGATGGGTGGGACATGGTTCAGATCTGAGAGGAGAGGCGAAGACAATCGCACGTACGTTAGGAATTTAGGCTGGAGAAAGAACAGTTGCAACTTAACTGCTTTGCTGGTTTACAAAATCAAACCCACAAAACCCTTAAACATATTTAACTTGTGCATGCTTATATTTAAACATATTGGTCCTGATGTATAGGACGTAGGAGACAGACTTGTCTGTCTTTCCCCAGTAGGTCAGAATTACTCATCAGCTCATTGGTGGTGCCTGCAAAAAGCATTGCTATTTTCCTCTTCAAACCGAAGCAGAGGCAGGTTGATACCCTGGAGAAGCCCGTCAATCCCACCATCCATTCAGCACAGTAGTGATATATTTGCTTTCCCCCGTTAGGCTTTTGTGAGTACATTAACAAACAACAGTGCAGGTGCTCTGGGGACAAGCGTAGTCACAGCTAGGCAGACACACTTCCAAAATACACCTTTAGCACTTTTCCACATGTCATTTAGGACCCCACATCTCAGCGACTTTCATTCAAACTTTTCAAGAAACAGGATTTCAAAAGTAGCTCATCATTCTTGATGCCTCCATTTCTGAATGCCCAGCTTAAGATGTTTTAAAAGCATGTCAATTTTGAAAAAACGCCAGGATCCCACAACCGCTGACAACCAGGCTCCTTTTAGACATCTCAACTTGTGTAACAGCAAACAGAGGCAGCCCAAATCATTACTTATTTATGAAAATCTTGGCTTTGGCCTCTTAAAAGCCTACATCACTTTTGAGAACTGGACTCAGATGCTGCTGAAAATGTTGCCCATAAAAAACCTGTTCATTGCAATGAACAAGTGCTTTTCACCACACACAAACCACACTTGCTGGGTAGCAGCGATGGTTCTACAGTACCATCAGATGGTCCTACAGAGCTAGATTTGAGATGCAATCAGGAAATGAAGACCCCACACAGACAAAAGCCAATGCTAATTTTGAAGCTCTTGAGCACCCTGTCACTTCTGCCCATGCTCTGCTTTGGTGCCAGGACTCCTCAAGGCCACCAAAACCAGCAGGCAGCTGTGACCCAATGAGGAAAGATTTGTTTTGATCATGGAAAAGGATCAGTGCAAGAGATAGCACCAGGCCATGGGAGACATTAGCAGACTGCCATTGCAGAAAAGCACTTCCATCTGGGAACAAGAGGACAAAGCAGAGGCGCTGCTGGATTTGCAAAGAGGTGATTTCTAACTGCAGCAGCTGGGGCAATCTGCTGGGGCTGAGATGCAAGAGCTGTGGCTCAGCTGAGCGTGGCAGCAAAGGGCTTGATGTGAATGGGTGGGAAGAGGAAAGGGGACAGAGGAAAGGTGGCCTCTGGCAGGTGTAGTCCCCCTTGGAGTGAAATCATTACCGAAGCCCAGAGTGCTACAGCTCTAACTATTCTGACACAGCTCTGTGGTCATGCGTGCAGCCGACCATCTGAACAGCTCATGAGGAGCCACAGGTCCGCTCCCAGACCACCTGGGCATACTTTCTTGGTGCCTCGCAGCTAAGACTTCCACGCACACGTGTTTCTCAGAGAAACAAACAACTCTGAGCTCTTCAACCAGCCCCCAGGATTATATGGTACATTTAGGCAGGAAGAAGGCATACCTGACAGCATATTTAAGACTACCCAGAGAAAACAAAGAAGAAATCACACTTTGTTTCACCTTTCTCCTAATTTGGGCTCCCATATCACTAGAAACATCAAGACTAAGCTGTTGGGACTTAGCAGCAGAGCTATTTTGCCAACTCACCCTGGCTGGCAAAGCATCTGCATCCTACAAGCTTCATGTTGGAGCAAATTCAGCTGAGTTCTTCAGCAAAGAAGCAAATTAAGACTAGTGGGTATAAACTAGAGAAAGTAGTTCGGTGGGCTCCTGCACGGATAACCTTGTCTTAGCAATTTGCTGTTAGCAATGCAGTCTGGGGGAAAAGAGCAAGGTCTCCACATGGTAGCATGGGGACAGCATCTCCAGCTAACAGCAAGGGCTGTGTGTGTGCTTATTCCAGCCCAGTAAGTTTACTCCAGGTAACAGGTTTCCTACTTGAGGAGTCATTTCTACTTAAAGTCTGACCCAACACTAGGGGATAGACAATGTATGGTGATCTTCCACCTCCATCGCTCTGTATGTGGGAGAGGAACTAGCAAGTGCCAAACGTCAGCCCCAACACTTCTGGTTCTTCCTCACCATGCAGTCTGACTGCTTGGCATGCACGCAGCAATTTCGCCATCCCTACCGCTGGAGGATAAACCTGTTGTGCTAGACATCCGATACCAGTGAAAGGAAGCCACTGGGGCCAGCATGGAGAAACTGGCTAGAAATGAGAGAGACAGGGGTGTGGCAGGAACAACCTGGAGATGGACAGGCATCCAAGGATGCAACATTTCCTCCCACAAATGCCTGCCTTCCGACCTTACATTAACAGTGCAAAGCATCATTCTGAAAGCAAGAAGTGAAAGGCAGGTCCTCCCCACAGGGTCAGAGAGGAAACCAGCCACGACGGGTGGGGGTGGAGGGTACGCAAACCGCGGTCCCACCACCTGGTACTTCCCATACGAACACCAGACCCGATGGACCTAGAAAACGACTGTCACTCGAGCAGTAAGATTCACCTACACTGCCGCCTCCTCATCCCACATGCTCCAAAAATGTAAAATGCAGCAACAAAACTCAGGCAACTATCTAGGTTTTAAGAGCAGAAAGCAATGAGGGCACTCAGCCTTAAGAGCTAAACAGGCCAACTCTGCACACTGCAGAGTTATTACCTCCAAAGACGACCATACCTTATCCATTGCTAAAAATATCCTGGAGTTTTATTCTGACAGGTTTTCAGCCCTGGCTTGACATCTCATATGAAAGAGCGTCCCACTGCGTGAAGTGCCCTCAGACCCTGGACATGACCTCCATACTGATTCAAAGCAAAAAAAATCCCAGTACTGAGCAGATCATCATCACTGCTGTCCTGGCAGGTCCCTAGTTGTTCCTCAACCACCTTCCCAGGCAACACGCCTTGGCCCCACTGAGCTCTCATGGTCTGCCAGGTTCACAGCAGGGATGGATTGAGTGATGCTCAAACCTCCTCCTTCTCCTTCAGTAGCCAGGCTGCACAGTGCTGGGGAGGCCTGAAGATGATGTGAATCTCAAATCAATGAGCTTAAAAAGCACAGTGCTCTTATGGACAGTTTGGGTGAGTGAAGACCACACTGCTGTAACTCAGTTGCTGACTGTAAGCTGGCATGCAGCTCCATCTCGGCTACCCTCTAATGCATTTGTTTTGGCGGCGGTGGTATTTTCTAATTGTTTCCCGTTAGCCTTTTCTCTTCCTCTTTCTCCCCTTCTCATTTTCTGTTATGCATTTGCTGCCACTCATTTTTGCTATCTGTGCCTTGACAACGTTTTCAGCAAGTTCCCTTTTCCTTGTGTGCTCCATCCCCAGCTCCCTAGCCTCAATTAAATTTAGCCTAACTACTTTATGAGATCATAAAAAAGGAAAATGAATTGATCTCTTTTTAACAGCTGAAGCTAAACTTCTGGGTTTGTTGTTATTCCCCCCCCTCCTGTTTTTTCACCTAGTAAAAGGGCAAGAGCAAGGCAAAATATAAGGGAAAGTAGCTTGCAGATGGGCACAGCCCCCCAACTCTCTCTGTAGACTTCTCCATGGTGGAGCACCCTGGCTAAGCCATCAGCGCTCCCTCACCATTCCCTATAATATTGCCTGGTTTTCAATCAGAAGCTTCTTTGGAGCAAATCAGATGACCATTTTGTGATGTGGACAAGTAACAGTACAGGGAAACTTGGGCTTATAACCAACCCTCTTACTCTAAATTTACGCTTACAGATGCCACCGTGGTTCGTGCACTTGGATGAGAACCTCCAATAGGTAAAGGCAGTGCTTTTCTGGCTAGCCAGCAAACACGACCAGTAAACACGTTTCACTTTTGTCTCAGGGGTGCTTCCTTCCAAAACAAGTTATTTCTGCTGGTTCTACAGTAAACAGTATTGTTTTCAGAAGTTTCTAGCTAGATGTGGGATGTGGGGGATTGCAGAAGTCAGCGGCACTGAGAAACTCAGAGAATAAAAAGAACAAGCTGTACTGGCTATTGCAGGCTTGAGAAAAACAAGGAACAAGAAAAACACAATGAAGGGAGCATCAAGATGGATGGGTGGGGGAAACCCAGGAAGCAGGATCAGAAAAAAGATCCTGAAAGCATGCACGCTGGTAAGGGGTAATGCGGTAAAGTGGATCTGCTCAGCTTAGCTGCTTAGATGGAGATGTTACAATAGCTGCATTACACATTTCTGATGGTGAATACAGCAAGCTCCTCTTCCAAGGCTAAGAGCAGATGGGAGTTAAAAAAATCATCAAACCCACCCTTGTTCTCCAAAAACAATCACCACCACCACCACTGAAGAACAGTAACTCTCACCAGCCTTTTACTGGATAAGCTGCTGCTCCTTGTATGCCAAATACAATGCATTAAGGGCCTGATCCATCTGCTGCTCCAGGCAATGGCTGGACCACAGAGCTCTCACTGAAAAGTTAAACTGCAGGTTAAATCTACAGTTGCCCCCTCATTTCTGTTCCACGCAAGTCATTTGTCAGGTATGGTTTCCCTTCAATGAGCCCCTTCCTAGCAAACCTGAATAAATCTAGCCACCCAACATTTAAGACAGCCGGGCTGGAATGACCTTTGTCATCAGAGCTCATGCCCCTGAGAACCTTCCTACAGAGACAGCCATCTCTTGCTTTCGCCATCAGGGCCACATCTCCCCCTCTCTTGGCTGAAGCCTTCTGCATTTCTGCCTGCCTCTCTCACATAGCCATCCTCCATGGTCAGCAGTAACTCAACATCTCTGTTCCCCATCTAGCTGCTACAAGCTTTTCCCGCAACTCCTTACTCTCTGGCCACTCTGGCAATACCCCTTTCCCAAATTCACTGCCCCACCCCAGACAAAAGTCTCCAAAATTGTCCTTATGTCTCCGCTTTGAAAGTCCTGT